TCTTGCTCATTCGGATTGATCATGCATTCGATCTATGTACTAGTATTGATCACTACACAGAACAATTGGTCCAATAGTGCATTCAGCTTTGTATTCCTGATCATCACAGAGGTGTTCCCGGCAATCACCATGTTCATCTTTTACAACCAAACCAAGTTCTCATCACGGTCACCAACACAAAGCAACAACTCAACATCCACCGCCACAGCATCATACAGTTCCAAGATGAAGGTTATCAAATAAATATTGATCGACCGATCACTCATTGGATTCCAAAGCAATTGTCTTTACTTTGGTGAGTACCAGGTTTATCATGATTAACCATGGTCAGCGAGAGGAGATTGCACGGTACTTTGGGTACCAGTTGACTTTGATCGAGTTGGAGCAAGGAGGATATGGTCAATCATTTTGTCCAAATAGGAGGTGAGATGGCCATGGACTGGTAGGACTTCCTTTCCCTCCGTTCCCTTCAAGTGGAGTATATCTTTGGATCTCCTCTGGAGTGGATTCACCAATCAGTTTAAAATGAACTTCTAGAGTCAAAAGTCCAAAAAAACGACAAGTCACAAGACACCATCACAAACATAACCAGTATCTCATATTATGACAAGTCTTCCTTCTCTCATAAGTTAAAGACATTGGGAGTTTAATCATATATGTATATTGTTATTTATCAAATCACACAAGAAGTAGAATAGTACTAGACTTTGTCAAACAGATGGCTGGAAGTAATTGATTAATGAATGAAAGACTTTATCTGTTTAATAGAATAATATTATGACTATGAATGATGATATCATCAAGATGAAAGTGATCACGTGGACATATATTCGAAAGACGATATCAATATCCAACCAACAGACAGACAGAATTACAAGGGTCATGTCGAAGGGTTATGTGACGTTGGCTAAGGGTGTCAAAAAGGTCGAAGATTCATAAGATCAACACGACACAGATATTTGTTAGGGTTCCATAAATGCCCATTAACATAATGCCTGCATGTATCTATCTATCTACTTCCTTGTCTTTATGATAACATCATCATCGTCATCCTAATCATCATCACCATCATTGTTATTGTTGATGGATCATTCAATCAACCATTCAATATATCGACCAATCAATCAAATCAATCACCAAACTATATGATTGGAACAGGAACAGATAATAATGAAGTTATTATTATTATTATTATTAATATTACTTTTGGTGATGGTGGAGTCTAGATGGAACATCACTCAATCAGCCAAGATATTGAATAAGAAGGCAAATGTACTTGGTATGAACTTTGACTATGCAGTGTTGGATATGGAATTGGATCGTGACCTGTATACGTATACATCGATACCATGTGCAAACTTTACATTTGAATCAAAGCCAAAGCCTACAATAGATTGTTCATGTGATTATACAAGTCATAGTGCATGTGGATCTACGTTGTCGGGCGATCCCTCTTGCGCACCATGCATCGAATCACCAGCATTCTGTGGACCTCAATTCAGTTGGTACACAATGAACTCGATCAATCACACACTGGAGATATCGACCTATGACATCACACCTACACCCTACCGCTACATCAATATAAGATACAACTATGTGATTAATCCATTATCAACAGAGACTGTGATGGTAAGTGCACTCGAACAATCATCCAACCCATTCTGGAATTCCACTCACTCATGATCAATCATTCGATCGAAAGATTCAATCACTATCTGGAATCATTCCACTCGTTCCACTCACTCAATCACACTCACTCAATCATTCAATCACACTTTGGAATCATTCCACTCACTAACTTGATCACTCAATCAATCAAAAATAATCAAGTTCAAGACAGAAATGGTTGGCAGGACAAACTCATCAACTGGATTGTTGTTTACCAGTGGTAATCCAGTGTCAAGCCAGAATATAAGGGCATTTCCAAACACGGCAATATATTGTCCAGACAAATATACTCAAGGCAATTGGACACAGTTCACATTGTTCTTACAAGTGATCACAGTTGATTTCCTTGGTACTGTCAAGATATCAATGATTACATCACCAGCTCCAAATGCAATTGTACCATCATCAGCCTCATCATCATGCTTCAGCAATTCTGATCAACTATGTATTATTGATGGACAATCATTCAATTTAACAACACCAACTTTGTACAAATACATTGTCAATCGTCCTATGAACTTATCACTTGGATGTTCTCCCGAGCAAATAAGTCCAGTGGACGTGGACATCTTCATCTCTGATCAATCACCCAAACCTGACGAGTACAATCACAAATGGAGCTTCAGCAACCCAACTAGTATGTATCACTCACTGGAACTATTCCACTCACTCCATCACTAACACATCAATCAATCAATCAAACAATCAGAGTTGGTTGGAGTAATGGGAGTAGTACCATTGGCACCATGGTCGAATGGAACTGCCAAGGTTTTATATGTTAGCATTAATACAATCAAGTTTATATCTTGTACTTTTACCTCGCAGGCCAAGCCATGGTTGGTACCAGTCCATTCGAGTGATCGTGTGGACTCATTGTCCAGAGTATATAATGGTGCACAATTGATCAATGGCGCAGATGGATCATTATTATATAATCCCAAGGCATTGGCATTATCATTACCACAATTATATTTTGGATTCCAATGGTCTTCTCCATTCACAATCAACTATCCAGTTCAATCATTGAACCCATTCATACCAATACCAGTATCACTCAAGAGTGATCAATATCTCACTCAACTATATATGCCTGAATACATTGATAAGGTCAATGTGACAGACAGTCCTTACAAGCCCAAGTCATTCCAAGCCAGTTACCTACTATCCAAACAAGTTGATGACTATCGAATACTCTTCAGCAGTTACGATGTCCTGTCCACAGCCAAACTCANTTCACCGGTTTACTCTTTGACTCTAATGGCATTGTAAGTCAATAACTCAATCATTCCTGGAATCACCCATTCAATCAATCTGATGACTTTGACCCTTACTAACGAACATATCAATCATAGCCATTGGATGATGTTGTGGACTTGGACCCTCAAACTTCACCTCCATGTAATTACACATTGTATGAGGATATTATAACATTGATCAAGGGTTATCAAGCAAATATGTCGATGACCAATGATGGTGCAAAGATAATAGAACTCAGATATAATATGGATATATTGTCATTCTCTGATGCATGGAAGTCTTGTGTCAATCAAACGTCCAACTTCATGGTGGTACAATCACAGAACATCACGGTGACCACCAACTCATGTCCCGACCTCAACATGAAGGCCAGCCGATACAACTCTGATCCATGTTGTAACAAGTACGCCAAGTTCTCAAAGTGTTGTCAACCGAGACAAGTGACCATCTCCGCGTCCAGCCTGGTTGGCTTCCAAACCGACCAACTCAATCGACAATGCACCAGTCCTTCATGTACTCAATCAGTTCTGCAAGACTTCCATACATCATCGTCTCGCGTGGCCATGGGCGGATGCAATCTCTCACTCCTCCAATACAATCGTGGACAGTATGAACTTGTCACACTACTTCAGCAATGCAAGGACCTTGCGTATACCATGTCATGGTGTGACAACGACACTCAATGTCCTGCTGGTGGCACATGCAGTCTATTCACACGCAAATGTATGATCCCGTTGGTCGTGCAAGACCGAGCGTACGTCGCCTGTGTCCTCAATGGCTCATCCATCTCCACATTGTTCAATCTCAAAAGACAACTCACCTCAAGTTCAAGCTCAAACTCAAGTTCAAACTCAAGTCTTACAGAGATGGTATACCAATCATTCAGAATGATGGATTGTACATCATTGATTGGCAATAACTATCGCACATTCTATGTGTTCACTGCGACTGGACAGAACTCTGTGTGTCTGGACAGGTACTGTCCATTCACTCACACGACCTCAATGGACTACCAGAACACAGTGATGTACAATCGATACTCCCAACCAACGGGCACATGTCAATATTATGGCTACTGCCCAGGCCTGCCAGGTATATGCGTGCCAATGGGCAACGCAAACTATTGTGTCAGTTGCACGGGCAAGAAGGACTTTTGTGGCATCTGCAGCGATCAATCACCCTGCAACGTGCTAACATACAATCAAACAGTTTGTCAAGATATGCCACCTTTGTGCGTTCTGCCCAATGGAGTGGCGGTGGACACATACCCAGAGAGGTGTGCCGAGCTTGGAGAATGCACGACTGACTGTGGTCTACTATGTACTGGCGTGCCAGTATGTGTGACCAATATTACACGAGAGGATGACTGTGTGGCGCCCATGGGATCAGTCCTTGCCTATCAGTACTCGATGGTTACAGGTGCATGCACGATCACAAACACCAATCAAACTTACTGTACTCAGAAGCTTGGATATCGCTGGCTGGACTGCAACACATTGTCAATGAGTGAGTGTGGCAACAAGAGCAACAGGCTCCTCTGCAGCATATCGCCCAAGCGGTGCTCGACAAGGGAGCAGTGCGAGGCGCCAACAGCAGGATCATGCACAGACTTGTTATACTTTAGAGATCAAACTCAGCTCACACTGTCTGCCAGCATGTGTGTCCGCGGACACACTGCCATCGTCCTTCCATTCAATCAGCCAGCATGCAACATTAATGAGTATGACACTCCTTTCGGATGTGTAAATGTGAATCAACTTCTATTCGCATCCAAGGAAGATTGTGAGGGCAAAGGTAGTGAATACAAATGGCTGGAGGCTTCACTCAATCAATCAACATGCGAGTCATACAAGGGCTGTCTGATGACGGACTTCTCCAACACTACATCAGGCCAATCGCGATACAATGACATGACTCAAGATGATTGTATTCAATGTTCGTCCAGTGCCGACATGTACTTGTGGAAACAAAAGTTCAAGTGGACACCTGGTCGATGGCTGCCTGGTGTGATGGTCCTGCCCAAGTGGTACTCTGGCCCACAGACCAACTTTGTCAACTCGTCAACATATGGTGACTCGTTCAATCTTGATGGATTCGCCACGTCCTTGTCCAACATCATGAAGGACGAGCTCATTCGATCATCATGCCAATTCCAAGGAATACAAGATAGTGTCGAAGCAGTGTCATGTAGTTGCTCGTCCAGCACAGGTAGCAAGTGCTTCCAATCCACCTCAGTGCCAACTCAGTCACTTCAAGTATGTGCCACAGAACCAAAGAGGATACAGGTCAACAATGGAAACATCCAGTTCGATGCGACATCGGTATCAGAGTCATGTGTTCAGGTTACGGTGAGCGAGTTCACTCGTGAGACCTATGCATCGCCACCAACACGTGTGCCACTCAGTGCCGAGTTCTTCAGTTACAAGCCATCGGTCAAATATGGTTTGACCAATGACAAGGGTGCATTCATTGGAGTGATCGTCAACAATGGAATCAATGTACAAGGTCCACTCAATCACTTTACATTGTGTCAGTCACCCGCCGCCATCACCCAGGGCGACTACACCATCAATGATTTGGCCATGACGATTGACAACAGTACCAACTCTATGCCCAGGCCTATCGAAGCCAAGTTCAGTCAAGCAACTGGAGAGGTTTACATCTGCGTGGACATCTCTCTGCAGTCTGGATCTGGCGCCAACTCTAGCGTCACGTTGTTCCCCATCTTGAGGGTGGCCGACTGGAAGGATTCCAAGGAGTTCTTCACCAAGTCACAGACAGTGTTGATGTACATCTTGGCAGTGATCTATGCACTCTGCGCACTCTGGGGATTGTTCCAGATCAGTGTGATCATGATGAGATTGATTAGAAGGATTGAAGGACCTAAATTGGCACATGCACTGATCACATCAATCACATGTTATACATTCATCCGAGCGATATACTTCTTCATTCTTCCCACCGGAACGTTGTACTCATCGACTGTATCAGACTATGTGTTGGTGATWCTGCCAACATTCATCTACTTCACWTGCTTCTCATTCATTCTTGGAYTGTGGTACATYCTSGTCAGTCCCAACATTGTCCAAGACTACATGAAGCGATTGAGCAGGACGATCATCATACTCAATGGAGTGTTGTACATTGCATGCATCACCATCATCTTGGTGTACAACGCATCAAAGAGTACGAGTTCAGTCAGCTTCTGTGGCACTCGAGCCTTGTCCAAGGTGTCCAACTCGACGACACAGACCATCATCTCACTCTTTTATGGTGTCCTCCAAGCATTGATCTCGTTGGTATTTGGCATCATGTTCATCTATCTCGGCATCAAGATCAACAAACTGCTCGGACCTTGGAGGGATGCCATCAAGGGTCTGTTCGGCCTGTCAGAGAAGAAGGTGCAGCTGTTCGTTGTTACATTATCTTGCTCATTCGGATTGATCATGCATTCGATCTATGTACTAGTATTGATCACTACACAGAACAATTGGTCCAATAGTGCATTCAGCTTTGTATTCCTGATCATCACAGAGGTGTTCCCGGCAATCACCATGTTCATCTTTTACAACCAAACCAAGTTCTCATCACGGTCACCAACACAAAGCAACAACTCAACATCCACCGCCACAGCATCATACAGTTCCAAGATGAAGGTTATCAAATAAATATTGATCGACCGATCACTCATTGGATTCCAAAGCAATTGTCTTTACTTTGGTGAGTACCAGGTTTATCATGATTAACCATGGTCAGCGAGAGGAGATTGCACGGTACTTTGGGTACCAGTTGACTTTGATCGAGTTGGAGCAAGGAGGATATGGTCAATCATTTTGTCCAAATAGGAGGTGAGATGGCCATGGACTGGTAGGACTTCCTTTCCCTCCGTTCCCTTCAAGTGGAGTATATCTTTGGATCTCCTCTGGAGTGGATTCACCAATCAGTTTAAAATGAACTTCTAGAGTCAAAAGTCCAAAAAAACGACAAGTCACAAGACACCATCACAAACATAACCAGTATCTCATATTATGACAAGTCTTCCTTCTCTCATAAGTTAAAGACATTGGGAGTTTAATCATATATGTATATTGTTATTTATCAAATCACACAAGAAGTAGAATAGTACTAGACTTTGTCAAACAGATGGCTGGAAGTAATTGATTAATGAATGAAAGACTTTATCTGTTTAATAGAATAATATTATGACTATGAATGATGATATCATCAAGATGAAAGTGATCACGTGGACATATATTCGAAAGACGATATCAATATCCAACCAACAGACAGACAGAATTACAAGGGTCATGTCGAAGGGTTATGTGACGTTGGCTAAGGGTGTCAAAAAGGTCGAAGATTCATAAGATCAACACGACACAGATATTTGTTAGGGTTCCATAAATGCCCATTAACATAATGCCTGCATGTATCTATCTATCTACTTCCTTGTCTTTATGATAACATCATCATCGTCATCCTAATCATCATCACCATCATTGTTATTGTTGATGGATCATTCAATCAACCATTCAATATATCGACCAATCAATCAAATCAATCACCAAACTATATGATTGGAACAGGAACAGATAATAATGAAGTTATTATTATTATTATTATTAATATTACTTTTGGTGATGGTGGAGTCTAGATGGAACATCACTCAATCAGCCAAGATATTGAATAAGAAGGCAAATGTACTTGGTATGAACTTTGACTATGCAGTGTTGGATATGGAATTGGATCGTGACCTGTATACGTATACATCGATACCATGTGCAAACTTTACATTTGAATCAAAGCCAAAGCCTACAATAGATTGTTCATGTGATTATACAAGTCATAGTGCATGTGGATCTACGTTGTCGGGCGATCCCTCTTGCGCACCATGCATCGAATCACCAGCATTCTGTGGACCTCAATTCAGTTGGTACACAATGAACTCGATCAATCACACACTGGAGATATCGACCTATGACATCACACCTACACCCTACCGCTACATCAATATAAGATACAACTATGTGATTAATCCATTATCAACAGAGACTGTGATGGTAAGTGCACTCGAACAATCATCCAACCCATTCTGGAATTCCACTCACTCATGATCAATCATTCGATCGAAAGATTCAATCACTATCTGGAATCATTCCACTCGTTCCACTCACTCAATCACACTCACTCAATCATTCAATCACACTTTGGAATCATTCCACTCACTAACTTGATCACTCAATCAATCAAAAATAATCAAGTTCAAGACAGAAATGGTTGGCAGGACAAACTCATCAACTGGATTGTTGTTTACCAGTGGTAATCCAGTGTCAAGCCAGAATATAAGGGCATTTCCAAACACGGCAATATATTGTCCAGACAAATATACTCAAGGCAATTGGACACAGTTCACATTGTTCTTACAAGTGATCACAGTTGATTTCCTTGGTACTGTCAAGATATCAATGATTACATCACCAGCTCCAAATGCAATTGTACCATCATCAGCCTCATCATCATGCTTCAGCAATTCTGATCAACTATGTATTATTGATGGACAATCATTCAATTTAACAACACCAACTTTGTACAAATACATTGTCAATCGTCCTATGAACTTATCACTTGGATGTTCTCCCGAGCAAATAAGTCCAGTGGACGTGGACATCTTCATCTCTGATCAATCACCCAAACCTGACGAGTACAATCACAAATGGAGCTTCAGCAACCCAACTAGTATGTATCACTCACTGGAACTATTCCACTCACTCCATCACTAACACATCAATCAATCAATCAAACAATCAGAGTTGGTTGGAGTAATGGGAGTAGTACCATTGGCACCATGGTCGAATGGAACTGCCAAGGTTTTATATGTTAGCATTAATACAATCAAGTTTATATCTTGTACTTTTACCTCGCAGGCCAAGCCATGGTTGGTACCAGTCCATTCGAGTGATCGTGTGGACTCATTGTCCAGAGTATATAATGGTGCACAATTGATCAATGGCGCAGATGGATCATTATTATATAATCCCAAGGCATTGGCATTATCATTACCACAATTATATTTTGGATTCCAATGGTCTTCTCCATTCACAATCAACTATCCAGTTCAATCATTGAACCCATTCATACCAATACCAGTATCACTCAAGAGTGATCAATATCTCACTCAACTATATATGCCTGAATACATTGATAAGGTCAATGTGACAGACAGTCCTTACAAGCCCAAGTCATTCCAAGCCAGTTACCTACTATCCAAACAAGTTGATGACTATCGAATACTCTTCAGCAGTTACGATGTCCTGTCCACAGCCAAACTCAAGTTCACCGGTTTACTCTTTGACTCTAATGGCATTGTAAGTCAATAACTCAATCATTCCTGGAATCACCCATTCAATCAATCTGATGACTTTGACCCTTACTAACGAACATATCAATCATAGCCATTGGATGATGTTGTGGACTTGGACCCTCAAACTTCACCTCCATGTAATTACACATTGTATGAGGATATTATAACATTGATCAAGGGTTATCAAGCAAATATGTCGATGACCAATGATGGTGCAAAGATAATAGAACTCAGATATAATATGGATATATTGTCATTCTCTGATGCATGGAAGTCTTGTGTCAATCAAACGTCCAACTTCATGGTGGTACAATCACAGAACATCACGGTGACCACCAACTCATGTCCCGACCTCAACATGAAGGCCAGCCGATACAACTCTGATCCATGTTGTAACAAGTACGCCAAGTTCTCAAAGTGTTGTCAACCGAGACAAGTGACCATCTCCGCGTCCAGCCTGGTTGGCTTCCAAACCGACCAACTCAATCGACAATGCACCAGTCCTTCATGTACTCAATCAGTTCTGCAAGACTTCCATACATCATCGTCTCGCGTGGCCATGGGCGGATGCAATCTCTCACTCCTCCAATACAATCGTGGACAGTATGAACTTGTCACACTACTTCAGCAATGCAAGGACCTTGCGTATACCATGTCATGGTGTGACAACGACACTCAATGTCCTGCTGGTGGCACATGCAGTCTATTCACACGCAAATGTATGATCCCGTTGGTCGTGCAAGACCGAGCGTACGTCGCCTGTGTCCTCAATGGCTCATCCATCTCCACATTGTTCAATCTCAAAAGACAACTCACCTCAAGTTCAAGCTCAAACTCAAGTTCAAACTCAAGTCTTACAGAGATGGTATACCAATCATTCAGAATGATGGATTGTACATCATTGATTGGCAATAACTATCGCACATTCTATGTGTTCACTGCGACTGGACAGAACTCTGTGTGTCTGGACAGGTACTGTCCATTCACTCACACGACCTCAATGGACTACCAGAACACAGTGATGTACAATCGATACTCCCAACCAACGGGCACATGTCAATATTATGGCTACTGCCCAGGCCTGCCAGGTATATGCGTGCCAATGGGCAACGCAAACTATTGTGTCAGTTGCACGGGCAAGAAGGACTTTTGTGGCATCTGCAGCGATCAATCACCCTGCAACGTGCTAACATACAATCAAACAGTTTGTCAAGATATGCCACCTTTGTGCGTTCTGCCCAATGGAGTGGCGGTGGACACATACCCAGAGAGGTGTGCCGAGCTTGGAGAATGCACGACTGACTGTGGTCTACTATGTACTGGCGTGCCAGTATGTGTGACCAATATTACACGAGAGGATGACTGTGTGGCGCCCATGGGATCAGTCCTTGCCTATCAGTACTCGATGGTTACAGGTGCATGCACGATCACAAACACCAATCAAACTTACTGTACTCAGAAGCTTGGATATCGCTGGCTGGACTGCAACACATTGTCAATGAGTGAGTGTGGCAACAAGAGCAACAGGCTCCTCTGCAGCATATCGCCCAAGCGGTGCTCGACAAGGGAGCAGTGCGAGGCGCCAACAGCAGGATCATGCACAGACTTGTTATACTTTAGAGATCAAACTCAGCTCACACTGTCTGCCAGCATGTGTGTCCGCGGACACACTGCCATCGTCCTTCCATTCAATCAGCCAGCATGCAACATTAATGAGTATGACACTCCTTTCGGATGTGTAAATGTGAATCAACTTCTATTCGCATCCAAGGAAGATTGTGAGGGCAAAGGTAGTGAATACAAATGGCTGGAGGCTTCACTCAATCAATCAACATGCGAGTCATACAAGGGCTGTCTGATGACGGACTTCTCCAACACTACATCAGGCCAATCGCGATACAATGACATGACTCAAGATGATTGTATTCAATGTTCGTCCAGTGCCGACATGTACTTGTGGAAACAAAAGTTCAAGTGGACACCTGGTCGATGGCTGCCTGGTGTGATGGTCCTGCCCAAGTGGTACTCTGGCCCACAGACCAACTTTGTCAACTCGTCAACATATGGTGACTCGTTCAATCTTGATGGATTCGCCACGTCCTTGTCCAACATCATGAAGGACGAGCTCATTCGATCATCATGCCAATTCCAAGGAATACAAGATAGTGTCGAAGCAGTGTCATGTAGTTGCTCGTCCAGCACAGGTAGCAAGTGCTTCCAATCCACCTCAGTGCCAACTCAGTCACTTCAAGTATGTGCCACAGAACCAAAGAGGATACAGGTCAACAATGGAAACATCCAGTTCGATGCGACATCGGTATCAGAGTCATGTGTTCAGGTTACGGTGAGCGAGTTCACTCGTGAGACCTATGCATCGCCACCAACACGTGTGCCACTCAGTGCCGAGTTCTTCAGTTACAAGCCATCGGTCAAATATGGTTTGACCAATGACAAGGGTGCATTCATTGGAGTGATCGTCAACAATGGAATCAATGTACAAGGTCCACTCAATCACTTTACATTGTGTCAGTCACCCGCCGCCATCACCCAGGGCGACTACACCATCAATGATTTGGCCATGACGATTGACAACAGTACCAACTCTATGCCCAGGCCTATCGAAGCCAAGTTCAGTCAAGCAACTGGAGAGGTTTACATCTGCGTGGACATCTCTCTGCAGTCTGGATCTGGCGCCAACTCTAGCGTCACGTTGTTCCCCATCTTGAGGGTGGCCGACTGGAAGGATTCCAAGGAGTTCTTCACCAAGTCACAGACAGTGTTGATGTACATCTTGGCAGTGATCTATGCACTCTGCGCACTCTGGGGATTGTTCCAGATCAGTGTGATCATGATGAGATTGATTAGAAGGATTGAAGGACCTAAATTGGCACATGCACTGATCACATCAATCACATGTTATACATTCATCCGAGCGATATACTTCTTCATTCTTCCAACTGGCACGTTGTACTCATCGACTGTATCAGACTATGTGTTGGTGA